AGTTTTGATAACAAGGATGTTTTGAGTTCTGAAATGTACAGGTTGTTTTTATGGGACAATTACCTCTTACATGTCAAAAGATTAAGGGAAATTCGATTTTTCAGTTCATGACTCCTTGAACCCGAAACTATATTGTTTAATAGCATGAAGAAACAATTGACTGTTCAAAGTGTGTTGAGACTATGAGACAAATGACGATGCATGTTTTTTCTCCTGGACTGTAGTTGTTGACACGTTGGAACGTTTGCAAATTGAACTTGTTTGAATTAACAGGACTTCAACGTAGGTCTTGGCATGATGTGTGTGTCTATGAACATAGCATCTGTGAAGACGACGGGGCGTCACAGCTTCAGTCTCATTACTCCATACAGGACCTTCAAGTGAGTGTCTTCACTTCTCGCCTTTTACAAGCAAGAAGTTTCTTATCTTACCACTAGGGATGAAATGGTTACCGGTTTGACGTTAAACCATGCTAAAAAGTCCCGACGGTTAGTATTACAGCTTATTTCGATTATCATTAAAACCGTATTTGATTATCGCGATTTGAAACACCTGTGGTAAATCCTGCTCAAAGTATCACAGCATTTTAAAAAAAAAACATAAAAAGAAAGAAAAACAGCATTGGTGTTTATGAAAGTTTCTAAAATGGATTTGAGGCTTGTCAGAAACAAATTTGCAGGCGCAGCAACATGAGAGAAATATGACTGAAGGCAGAGTGCTGAGAGAAATTACATGAATGAATGAGTGAATAAATGAATTCTATGAATGCATAAGGGTGAACCGAGTGTCTTCAGAAAAGTTTCGATGGTATTTTCTTTTCATCTTCCTCTTTATGTAATGCCTAATAAAGCAGTGTTTATTAGCGCAGCGCTGCTTTGTTTACAGCGGTTATAGAGAAACCGCTCTATTTCTTCTGTTCCACCTGCTGTCAGACAGTGGACTTACATTTTCATTCAGCCTGTCTGCCGTTTGTGTTCAGACCAATGCAGAAATTGGACCAAATTTTTGTTGTAAATCGGTGGATGGAAAGTAAGCTAATGTGCATTCAAAAAAAATCTCAACACTTCAGATAATAAGGTAGCCTATGTAGAACTGTTTATGGAGCAGATAAAATGCTTATAATTTTTTCATTTCGATTTTCGATGATAAAAGGCTGAAATGTAAGGTTTATCATTTTATAAAACTTTTTTTTTTTTGTCAAAACTTTGCTTCAACATGTAGTACATGGGTAACACTTTAGCTTAGGGAACACATATTCACTATTAACTAAGAGTTTTCTCTAAACAAACTCCTAATTTGCTGCTTATTAATAGTTAGTAAGGTA